GAGGTATCCCTGCCCATGGCAGGGGGGTTGGAACTCGATGATCTTCAAGGTCCTTTCCAACCTAAACCATTCTATGATTCTATGAAATTTAGACTAGATGTTAGGAAGAAATTCTTTATTCTGATGATGGTGAGACCCTGGCGCAGGTTGCCCCGAGAAGCTGTGGCTGCCCCATCCCTGGAGGTGTTCAAGGCCAGGTTGGACGGGGCTTGGAGCAACCTGGGCTGGTGGGAGGTGTCCCTGTTCATGGCAGGGGGGTTGGAACTAGATGATCTTCAAGGTCCCTTCCAACTCTAACCATGCTATGAGAAGTGCTTTCAGTTTTTCCTGTTAAGGCAAATGTAGGTCTTGCGTGAAGATGTGTTAGGGACATGGTACAAGATGCAACAGCGGACAGAATATCAGAATAAAAGAGGTGATACAGAGGAGAGATGATGGGACACACAGTAAACAGTGTTAAATGTCAGGTGAAGATTGGTTGGCAAACAGTTGTAGGTGACCGGGTGATCAAACTTGCACTTACTGGCTCTTGGGGCCTTTCTGTTTGCATTGGCACTGAAGAGTTTTACAGCGTGTTAATTTCAGTGGACGTACTGTTTATAGAATATCTAAAGTATATAATATATATGAGAGTCTATATATAATTGTGAATGTATTTCGATAAAATTTTTTTGAAGTAGAGATTTATGTCTTCTAACCTGATGAGGGCATTTAACCCCAAAATAGGTAAAATGCGTATAAGCAATAACTACTTTTTGTTCTCCAGGGGCCGTTATTTAAAGTTGTTTTCATTTGTGCCGGTGTGGCTTGCTGGGACAATGCAGCGGTTTCAGGCCTTTACTAATGCTCTTCCTTCTTTGCTAAGTTACTTCTCTCAGAAGAGCAAAGTGAGTGAATCACCAGCTGGCTGTTTAAATACGCAGCAAATTAGAGTATAAAAAGGGGGGAAAAAAATAGTATATATTAGCTTGAGCTCAGTACTGTCTGAATGCATGCCTTTAAGAACTTTTTAAAAGTTCCCAACGTTTGAGTGAAATCCAGTCTGGGTTCTTATAATCATTTTGTTGATCTCTTCTGTCTGTTCATTTTGGACATCATTAAACACAAATCATGTAAAAAAAAAAAAAAAAATCTTCTTGGCTCAGTGCTTTGCTATTAATGTCATGTGTTCTCTTTACTCCTTTCGTCACATCGCTTTTAAGTAAATCATGTGCTCCTCAATTTCAGCAGCGGTGCTAGAAACAGAAGAACACACAGCAATAACCTGCACGTTCTTTTGGTCACAGTTGTCAAAGAAATTGGGGCTAAAGTGTCTTTGTAGAGTGGCCTGAAGACACTTAGTACCATCTCTAACTGTGTAATCTGTGCTTTGTAGATAGGAATGAAGTCGCTCCATCTATTTATCAAATTTGCACACACTATGAACGCTAAAATATTAACACAGAAAGTGGGTGGGTAGTGGAAGAAAGCCCTACAGAAACATTAGCCAACTGGAAACTGCTATTGTTGGCGGCTTTCACAGCTGAGCACAAATGTGCCTTTTGTTTTCTTAATGCCCCGGGGCAGAATTTGAAAATCAACAGGTGTGGGTTTTATTCATTATTTTACAAAGCCTCTAGGATTAATATATTTTGCTTTTCCTTGATACTCAGAAGCCTGCTGGAATAGAAGTGTGTATGCGAACATAGCCACAGAAATAACTGGAGGCGTAGTCGGTGCCCTGATTTCTGGTCTGTTGATGCTTTTGACCAATGGCCTAATAAATGAATTGGCTCTGCTGTTGTTGTTGCATAGTCTTATCCTTTATGGACCCGGGTATCTATGGAGAAGATGTCTTTATAACAATGAACACCCGGCGTGTGCTTGGGTTCAGGAAACATTAGGAGGGTTGGGTCAAATGAGTACTCTTAGTGTCTTAATTGTTTATTAAAAGAATGTCCCACTTTCTTAGCTGTAAATACTAGGAAGAGAGGAATAAGTCAAGACTGCATTTGCAAATGTTTCCCCAGGAGCAGGTAGTGAATGCTAGACCATTCATTTTAAAAAAAAAAAAAAAAAAAAAAGTGCTTTTGGGAATTGAAGTACTGCCTTCCTTAGGATTTACCTTCTCTAAGGGTAGTGGAGGGGGTAGGTGAGGTTTATCTGTGAGCATTTCTGTAGCATGAACTCAGTAATGGAAAATTCAAACGGCTGCATGCTGTACTGTTATATGGATAAATGCAGTTCTTGTTTTCTCTTATAGGCTGAAAATGAGTAGGTTGCAAAGTGCTGAAGGGCCTGTAAGTTATCTGTCATAAGAACCAGCTCAATCAGGGGCTTAGTAATATTGTTAGTCCCCACAGATTACTTCAATTTACAGAAATGATCAGTTCTAAGAAATGGAACTAGACTTCTTCCAGAGTCTTAGTACTTGCTCAGAGAGAGTTTAAAAAATGTGTTTGATGCAGTTAGATTGCATAAAAACCGCATTCCTGGACTTAAAGCAAGTCACTGTTGCGACACCATTCCTCTTACACAATATACGCTTAAACCACAGCTATTTACATTCCATGATACCTAGAATCATAGAATCATTTAGGTTAGAAAAGACATGTGAGATCCTCAAGTCAAACCATTAACCTAGCACTGCCACATCCACCACCAAACCATGTCCTTTAGCACCACATCTACACATCTTTTAATAACCTCCGGGGATGGTGACTCAACCACTTTCCTGGGCAGCTTCTTCCAATGATAGATAACCCTTTCAGTGAAAAAAAAATTTTCTTAATATCCAATCAAATCTCCCTTGGTGCAACTTGAGGCCATTTCCTCTTGTCCTATCATATGTGAGAAGAGACCGACCCCCACTTCTCTACAACCTCCTTTCAGGTAGTTGTAGAGAGCAGTAAGGTCTCCCCTCAGACTCTTTTTCTCCAGGCTGAACAACCCCAGTTCCCTCAGCCACTCCTCATAAGACGTGTTCTCCAGGCCCCTCACCAGCTTCATTGCCCTTCTCTGGACACTCTCCAGCACCTCAATGTCCTTCTTGTGGTGAGGGGCCCAAAACTGAACACAGTACTCAGGGTGGGGCCTCACCAGTGCTGAGTTCAGGGGGATGATCACTGCCCTGGTCCTGCTGGCCACACTGTTTCTCATACAAGCCACGATGATTCTGGCCACCTTGGCCACCTGGGCACACTGCTGGTTCATATTCAGCTGGCTGTTGACCCTCAGCTCCTTTTCTGCTGGGCAGCTTTCCAGCCACTCTTCCCCAAGCCTGTAGTGCTGCATGGGGTTGTCTAAGTGCAGGACCTGGCACTTGGCCTTGTTGAACCTTATACAGTTGGCATCAGCCTATCAATCTGGCCTGTCCAGATCCCTCTGCAGAGCCTTCCTACCCTCAAGCAGATCAACACTCCCACCTAACTTGGCCTCATCTGCAAACTTAGTGAGGGTCCACTTGATCCCCTTGTCCAGGTTGTTGATAAAGGTATTAAATGGAAGTGGCCCTAGTAGTGAGCTCTGGAGAACACCACTTGGGACTGGCTACCAACTGGATTTCACTCCATTCCCCACCACTCTTTGGGTCCGGCCATCCAGCCGGTTTTTCACTCAGCAAAATGTATGCTTATCCAAGCCATGAGTAGCCAGTTTCTCCAAGAGAACGCTGTAGGAAACGGTGTCAAAGGCTTTACTAAAGTCTAGGTAGACAACATCCACAGCCTTTCCCTCATCCACTAGGCAGGTCACCTTGTCATAGGAGATCAGCTTAGTGAAGCAGGACCTGAATAAGGATTAGTTCAGATCTTTACATTCATACGGTCTGCCAGTACCCCAATTTTTTTTGTTGGCCTTCCCTCTGATTCTTACCCATAAACACTCAACCCTATCATCACCATCATCATTAAGTTCTAGACAATCAAAACACTCCCTAATATACAGGGCAACCCCACCAGCTCTCCTTTCTCGCCTATCTCTTCTGAAGAGTTTATAGCCATCCATTGCAGCACTCCCATTGTGCAAGTCATCCTGCCATGTTTCTGTGATGGCAATTCTATCATAGTTCTCCTGCTGCACAGCCTTCCGGCTCCTCCTGTTGGCTGCGGGATGCTGCATGCATTGCTGTAAATGCACTTCAGTTGGGCTATTGGTCCTGCCACCTTTTTGGGGGGAGAAGCCCTAATTCCTACGTGACCGTTCTCAGGTGCTTCAGTGGTTTCTAACACATCAATAACCCTTGTGTCTTTCCTGCCTTGTGGAACTCCATCCACTGCCTCCATTGAGATGGCAGAATGGAGGACCTCGCTAGCACACTGTCCCTCAAACATTGACGTGCTGCCCCCAGGTTTATCTGTGGCAAGCCTGGTTTTATCCCTTTCCCCCTTCAAATCTAGTCTGAAGCTCTTCCAAGGAGCCCTGCTAACTCCTATGAATACTTCAATGTGCTCTATATGGTTGTCGGAGAAGTCAACAAAATCAGGGTGGTGGTGGGGGAGGTCGTGTTGCTGTGTTAACCTGTGCGTCTCCCCCACTGGGTTACAAAGAGGTGGTTTGCATAACTGCCAAGGAAAAACGTACAGAAAGAATATGTCTGCTGTTCCAGGTCACCCAGGCATCACATCTGACATTTTGGTAGTACTGAAAGGTAAGCTTTCTTTG